AATAATATATAATATATAAATAATATATATAATTATATTAAGTCTGAATATGTTAATTTCTTAAATGAATTTTACAATTTTAAATAAAATGTAGTTATATAAATTTATATTTAATATAAAGGCTTTATTTTAGAAGGAAATGTAATCATTAGCTCCGATCTTTCAACCGTCAGTTTTGAAAGGTCCAGGAAGTTACTGAAGGACCGTGTAATGTTGGGAATTCGAAAAACAGAGTCCTCTGCAGTAGTGAATTTCGTTATGAACTCAAGACACCATAAAAACTTTGTTTTAGTATGTTGGTGTAAATTCATGAAATATTAACAAAAAACTCGAAATGGAAACAAAATGCGTAAAAATGACAAAAATTACCCAAAGGTCCAGAAAAATGACCTAAAAATTGAATGACGGCAAAAAATGACTCAATAACTGTAGTACGTTGCTATCACCCAGATCTCGTGATAGCCAAGTTAGCTGTGTCTAGAATGGACCAATGGAAAGATAACATATCAGTATCCGAGCCCTGCTTATGATTGACTAGTGCGGTGATGCCAAGGTCTCCTACTGGTGGCAGTGGCACGCTTTGTGGCACCGTGGCATGCCACGAGCCTCTCAATGCCACTCAACGAGCTAGAATATACTACATAGAGTGGCTGGTCTTATGGTGTCAGTACTCTTGGTGGATGCTCGCAGAATTGGGTGTTGCCATACTTTTTGCCGTCAGAACAGGAGATTTGCCTGATGGTGGGGTGTAGATCTGTTGTACTGGGTTGACATGTTGGTTCTATCATATCTTATTCGTATATTGTATCTAATCTTATTTAAATAATATAAGTGGTTAGAAACATAATATTCACAATGCCTTCAGTATGTTCGGTATATAACTTAAAAATACAAATAATCAAAACACAAATATATTATTTTTCAAGGTTGCCCCCTTATTTGTGATCTTTTTTTTCAATAACATTCATTTCCAATAGTTATGCCAACTACTACAATAGCTTTTCAAGAGCTTCCATTCTTATGACTGACGCAGGCATCAACGTGTTTTTAAACTTTCTCAATTCGCTCTTTACACATATCGTGATTTCGTTTTTAAATAATTGGGTTAAAGCCGTGAAACGGAATAAGAGGCTTTATATTACGCTCGGCCCGAGCCCACCCGACCTTAATCAGCGACAAAGGGAATACTAAAATACTCTGTTTCCAGAGGGCGCTGCTTTGACTGCAAAAAACATGACTTCAATTTCCTGCAAAGATGGAGTCTCTTCACGTACTCTATGTTATATATTTTAACTCGTTGGCGCAACTAGTGTCGGGATTGGAAACTATCAGTAGTCACCCCGCCATTTTCAAACTCGCCTGAATGGCGTGTAAAAAAGAGGATATATACCTAGAAAAATAATGTAACAACAAACGTTCTTAAATTTATTTACCTCAATCCCGCCTAATCGTATTTCATGTGTAAAGCGTAAAAGCGTTCAGGAGGGCTTTGTCTATCTATTGCTCTCCTGTGGCGAGGTGATCAACTGAGCGGAGGGGTGACCTCGTCTTGCTACCAGTGCCACGCTCTGGCGGCATCGTCCTTGACATCACTGGATTAGTGATTCTGGGCGCGCCAACTGCCAGGGTCATTAGTCCCGTAGTAAGTGTAGTAGTTCACGTTTTCATAGCAGGAGGTAGCGGTGATATTCCCTCGCTGGATGATGAGATCCACCTACCTGTCGGCTAGCAATGTTTCCCCGAAGCTTGGCACCGCCCCAGCCGGGGCAAGCTCTAAGCTTCTGACCGTTCTCCCGGCATATGCGGTAGTGCAGTGCATGCAAGTAAGGGGAGACAATGAAATGGAAGAGGAAGGGATAATTGCGCCCAGTTCGTGGCCCGTGTGTTCTGGTGCTGATGAGAGAAACCACGGAAAACTACTGATTAGTGCAGTTGGTAGCTAGAATTTCCCTCCACACAGCTGAATTCAACCTAGCTATCTAGCAAGTGTCGAAAATCCTGCTACCGACCGGCTGTCTAACCCTTGTATCTCCAGGTCGCACTGCACCCATCGAGAAGGTCGGTATTATACTGAGAATACCTTTCTCAAATATGTTCTTGAAAAGAAAATTTTTATTGAAGATTTTATAAAATATTATTTTTTATAAAAATTCTTTGATAAAATGTACATTGAAACGTCCAAGTTTAATCATATTTTTTGTTACATGGTCTGAGAAGAACATTTATCGCTTCAAAGTTTTAATTGCAGAAAACGATTATCGATTATTTACGAACGATTGCAGAAAACGAACGATTATTAGAACTATTTTAAATAATTGTCCATCCGATTTCAAAAATAAGACCGAACGAATTGATGCGCATGATCAATTTCTTAGGAATGGAAAATGCGGGGCTTGGAATTATTTTTATTAATTTAAAAATTATAGTTATATTTTTTACTTAAAAATCGGAAAACACACTTCCGAAAAAAGGAAGAAAAAGGAAATTAAATATTGCCTCGTCCATCCTCAAATAATTCATACATGTCTTATGATCTTTAGTCCTTAATTAAAAAATATGACCGACAAATCGACCTATGTCACAAAAAATATACCAACAAAGTAACTAACGATTTGAGCACGTTTACAATTTCCAAATTCAAACTCGTACCAATACCTTACCTGTAAATGTCAGATCGCTGGGAGAGAAAAACCGAGTCTAGTTCCTTAATAGCCGTTAATCAGAGATTTTGCTTGGCCACCAAATACCAATGGAGCATAATCCTATTCAGTAAAGTTGCGGGAATTGAAGCCTCGCTAATCCGAGATTCCGTTCCATCCGAGGTAGCCTGATGACCTAACAAGCAAACGAGCGGGGATAATCAAGAGTTGGCTCTTGAGAGATTGGCAACACTGCGTCGGTCACGTGTGCGGCGGTTGGTGACACTGTCAGTCTGTCTGCCATTTTGTTGTGACCGGTTCATGCTGATTTATGTAGTGTGTATCTGTAATATGTATAGTGTACGCACATTAAATTTGACTTCACTTCAGAGATTGACATGGTTACCTTTGTCTCAATAAAAATTAACGTTCTCCTTATGAATTCTATCCGTTAATCATGTTTCCGCTGTTTTTGCCGCAACTCAGATCGCGTATACCGGCAATTAACGTGCTGTCATTAAATTTCTAGCTAACGTACCGAACCAAACTTTCCAAAACAAAACACATATTATTAACTTCTCTACACGATTGCTACGAAACTGCCCGTGGGTCCAGATTCTCAAACAATGCGATCTCGTCATGTCATATGTGGCAAAAATTGGATTCCGGAAAATTTCCACAATATGCAAGCTTTGTTGCCGGCAGGCCAGAAGGTGGTGCGGTCTACCAGTCACTTTTGGAAGCAATTTAAGATCGATTACAAAGTTTCATGTCAAATGAATTTTCCGCTTTTTGAGAGAATCCTCAAGGGGTTTTGGCCAAAATGCGAACGCGCCAAGTTTGAAATGTATTATCTTTCCTTCTTAAGTACCTTCAAAGAGTAGTCAAACTGAATGAGCTTCATGCGTGGCGCCTAATTTGAATTAATTTGGTCGCCTATGTGACAACAGCCATACATAACTGATACCTCACGACATCCGACCCATGTTCTCACCCACAAACATTTCCTATTTCCCTTTTTCTTTTTCAGCATTAAAAATAGGTTTGTTATTATAGAGCATAAAGAAGAACAAACGCAGTGATTAATTCATCCGTCTTGAATCGCGAGCAAAACTTCAAGAAAATATTTGACGCCTTGTAATACGTTCGTAAAAGTTCTTTGTCAAAGTTCAGAGATCTTAAGATCTTCCACGAAGTTCTTCGTCAAAGATATTTGTCAAACATCTTTAATAGTATACGGATGAGTGCATATACGGACTCGCGCAGGGTGATTGTAGCATTCTGTGTAATGACATGATCGAGGCTTCTTCAGACCACCATGTGTCACGTAATTACGTCACGTAATGTGTCACGTAATTACTGTCACGTAATTCACTACTGGTAATTTCCCGCGCCCTGGTTAGGAGTTATACATGGCTTCCGCACAGGATGACTGACAATTGCTTTCGGACGTGCGAGGCGCTTCTTGTATTATTACTTTCTCACTACCGCTTACGTAGTCGAGAGAATGTTATGTAATGCTGCGCGAAAAAACGGCGAATTTTCGGTAGAAAAAACCTCTAATACAGGGAATGGTAACGAAAAAGTGGATAAATCCAGTTGCGAAATTTAGGAAAAAGATCTAACACGTGGTGGAGTCAGAATCCATATTTTGTGGGTCCTTGATACCGAAAAATCGATTGACAATAAAACGTCTGTCTGTCCGTCCGTGTGTGAACAACGTTAGCGGCTAAACCGTTTAACCGATTTTCTCCAAAATTGATATCCCCCAATCGATATGGCACCTTGAATTTGAAACCGATATTTTAATTTTGGAGTGTATTAAGATTTTGCATGAAGCGCCTGGGACACATTCAAAATTTTCAAAAACATGGCTCCATTGCTTTTGATTAATTATTTTGATCGTTAGTGTGAAGGCCGTTTAAGAGACTAGCTGGTCGCATTTTCGTGGGAAACTGATCTTTCGAAAATTGCCCCAATTCCATACTGTTTCGGCGTCTTCCAACAACTAAAACATTAAAGACAATGATTTTTTCCCTTTATGTAATATGTTCCTTATGGATAGATTTTGAAATGTCACATATAATTTTTACGTGATTTTTGCGTTTTTACGTGAACATACAGGCGAGAAAATGCCTACTGATTAGCATCACTAGTTATCCAACTGTTCAATTCAATTCAATTATGCCTTATTTTACGTGACGAGACTCGGTTGATCAAGCTCACTCTTCCGTCTGACCAGGCAAACTCTTCTTTCACCATTTAGCAGAGAAAGAAGGAATAACTCGGGCGACGAAAAGGCATTTTGAATTGAGCTAGGAGGCTTCTTTTATGCTTGATCTTTTACAATGGACAGCTGGGTTCACTTTCCCTTTGAAGAACTACAAAGGACTTTTTCGCGGGTATAACAGCCCGATATGCTAACCAATATACTACCGAAGCCACCTTGAATGAAGACATGAAAAGTGAATATAGTTTCAATATCCACCCAGAGGTTTTGAAGCAATGAAAATGACTAGAAAATCCAAGTCAAATCAGATACTCTGGTAGCGCCAATAAAGGTGGGCAATCGCCGAGATACGATGATCCAAAGCGGAATACATTAGAATCTTGATTGTTTTTTCAAACTCGCAAACTTTCTCAATAAACTTATGTTGGCTACATTTATACGTTCTCGTAACGTCTTGAAGAGTTCAAAATATCTCCTGTGAAGGACTTGGTTAAGCCTCGGCTATTGTCTTCAATTTTCCGAGAAAAAAATTCAAACAGTTCTCAACTGTAAGGCAAATGGCTTGTTTTTCACTCCAACGAAAATGTGTATCGAATGATGTATTCACCGACAGCCTATTTCTTGTGCCAGGGAGGGGGGCGCTTGGCCATAGATCAAGAATGGTTCTTCTTCCCCATACGCCCCGTCCCGTTTTTGCTGTTCTTTGGCTAAATAAACCAAATCAAAGAAATGTTGCGCGATGTATATTAATGATGAATCAAAATTGCAAATCACCGTGCGAGTTGCAATAGCCCAGTCAGCTTCTTGCGAGCGCGTCAGAGATGACGCTGAAGAGATTCAGTCATCATTACTGGAAGTGTAGTGCATGCTATAGTCTGGACGAGTTTTCTTCCCACTGGAATGTGACATCCAGTGACAACTTACATCTCGCTTTTCTCCGTAGGTGTCTCCGCCAGCGAGGCTTCGCCGCATTTGGGACACGTTTTGAATTCAGATGCTCTCTGAAGGAGCACAGTAGCGGCCGACAGCTCTGGTCGGTACTTTTCCGTGGTTTCTACAATCAATCAGATGAAGGCCGGAGAAGTACCTTAATAAACGGGCCACGCATCATGTTCAAAATGTTCTCCCTCGTCGTTGTCTTTTCTTCTTAAGTACCTTCAAAGAGTAGCCAAACTGAATGAGTTCCAATCGTGGCGCCTAATTTGAATCACATGCCGGGAGACCAGTCAGGAGCTTAGAGCTTGTCCCGGTTGGGGGGGTGACCCACTGGGATGAGATACATGAAGGGGGAAATCCCATGCAAGCCAATGTGTGGGTCTGCGCCGGATCCCATCGTCCCACGGGAGAGGAACGTCACCAAGTCACCGGGTTAAATAAAACATTCACTACTATAACAGGGTTAATGACAATAGCAGCTGATGTACGTAGACACATCAATAAATCCGACAAGCGTCGGCTGCGGTCATGGAGAGTGGATCGAAGAAATTATACTCCGATTAAAACATAGTTGCACTTCAAAGTCACGGGCTTGAAGGACAGAGGGGCATTGTCATCAAATCGCGAGTTCCACTACCAAAAGTTTAAGTCGTAACGAAGCTCGCGGTTGAATGATTGTGTGCCCCTCTTCCCTGCCAGTCACCTTGAAGTGCAGCTAAGTTTAAATCAGATTCTATACTTCGACGTTTAGAAAGTGGCCGATGGCATTTTGTCATTGCTACACCTCCTGCCTTATACAAGTAATCTTATTAACTCATTGGCGAACGTTCTTCTCAACGGTGCTGGTGACCTCAGATATAAGCTTCCCACTGTTAAAAAGTTTAATTCTGTAAGGCAGGAGGTGTAACTGTGACTGAATATCATCGGCCGCTTAAAAAAATTAAGAGTCTAGTTGAGGACAACCGGTGCGTGCTGCGATGCGCAGAGTGCGCGTGTGGTGGAGCGGCGGGGGCGAGGCCGAGACGTCGTTCGAGGTGAGCGTGCGGCTGGTGACGCAGGCGAGCAGCCGGTGCGCCACCGCGCCGCCCACCGAGCGCCAGTTCCACTGCGCGGACTTCGCCACGGCGCACGACTGCACCAGGCACTGCGCGCAGGGCGTCGGCGCGGCCAGGCCCAGGTACCTCCCCCCTGCCCCGCGCCCGGGGCTGCGCTTCTTGCGCTTCCGCTCGTGCTCTTGCTCTTGCTCTTGCTCTTGCTCTTGCTCTTGCTCTTGCTCTTGCTCTTGCTCTTGCTCTTGCTCTCGCTCTTGCTCTCGCTCTCGCTCTCGCTCTCGCTCTCGCTCTCGCTCTCGCTCTCGCTCTCGCTCTCGCTCTTGCTCTTGCTCTTGCTCTTGCTCTTGCTCTTGCTCTTCAACTCCTCGTGCGTTACCTTTTTATTTTCTTTCTCTTCCTTTTTTCTCCTTTCTATCTTCTCTTTCTACTTGTCTTCTTTTTTCATTTCTCCACTTTCACATTATATACCTCATTTTTATCCTTCTTTCTTCTTCTTTCGTAATCTTTCAGTATCTTCTTCTTGTTAATCTTCATTTCGGTACATTCCTTGCATTCATTTGTTCTTTCTTTTTGTTGTTTTTTCTTCTGCATGTTTTAAAAATGATAGAAGTGAAGCACCTACTGTTGCAAACTTTTTTATTTCTTCTATTGCTGATTTTGTGGAATGCAGAAAAACATTAACTGAAAGCTCTAGGAAGTGTTGTCAAAGAAATGTTTCAAATAATTATTATTTTACTCTATAAATGCCCTGTTCCTATATTCTTGAGGTACTTTTTGTATGTTTTTACACGGCATATCGTGAAGCAATATTAGTGGCAACGACGTGATCTGTATCATTTGATCCGTAAAGAAACTGCACTTTCGTTCCAATACTGCGATACGTTGATGTATTTCCGCACTGTGCGTGTGTGCAAAGTGTGCAGCTAAAGATTAATTCCCTCAATGACACTTCCACTTGATACGCATTTGTATGCCTAGAACTAATTTTCATCACGATGTTGCGTCATAGGAAAATAGATATACCAGCACACTCTACCGCCACAGTTGGGATCAATTAAATTTATCGTTGCCGGTCCGTATCGTATAGATTGGCGAGAAACGTGATGGCACACGATAATTAAATCTGAGAAAACAAAAACCTTCTCTGACCAAGAGATTTTGAAGAGCATGGAAAAAAGTTCTAAGTTCCGGACAACGATCATTTTTTCTCAACATTAATAGTTGAAGGGCACTCTACAGACGTCACAGGGTTCATGGACAACGAACTTTTATACATAGAAAGTTGAATTTATATTTTTAGAACAGTTTCCCATCATTAACTCAAAACCGGTAAAATTTGACATAGACCTTTTTTGTTTGCACCGATTCAATTCTGGTAGAGTGTCACATCCCGTTATAACTGTACCGTAACGTTGGAGTTTGCGCATGTGTAGATGCCCTAATGCATGGTAATATCGTATACGATGCAGTGCTATACGCTGTGCAAAAACTCTCTATTGTTGCTCTTGTGAGATTGCATACTTAACAATACGTTTTGTGTTGCTTTTGTCCCCCAGAAAAGGTGACGCGGTGGCGAAGGCAGCCGACGTGGACAGCACGTGCACGTGGCGCAGCATTGGCCCCTCGCGGCCGCAGGCGCACGCCAACTTCACCACGTGCACTCCCGACGTGCTCACGTGCCCAGACGGCGAGTGCGACGAGCTGGAACGCGAGAACAAATTTCTGTGCCCTCAGGTCAGACCCCAACCGCCGAAGAGGCAATCAACAGGCTTATTTTGGAGCATCTGTTTTGGAGGCAAAACATAAAGCACTAATTCCATTAAAAGTTTGAAATAAAACAATTATTTAAAAGACAATATCGTTTGAGTATAGTATTATTATTATACTTTTGTTGTTGTTGTTATTATAATTATTCTCGTCTCACAATGTTAGATATCGGTTAAATATAAAAGCTACTCCAGTTTGTAAGCAGTTACCTAAGGAGCGGATCTGGCGACTGCCAGTGCCTCTGCAACACTTTGCAAAAAATGGGCTGTCGCAATATCGCGATGCTTAGTCCTTCGCAGTCTTTTAACTTGGGAGCTTGGACAAGTTCATACATTTTTTTTTCAGAACCAAATCATACCCAATCCATAATTCCTAGGTGCCTTTTGTGGTCATATTTTGCATGCGATTGCATCCCCTTGGTTTTTGTTTGAGTCACTTAAAAGCGTTCGTGAAAAATTTGATTAATATTGTTTTGGGGGAGGAACACACGCGTACGCACTCACACGAACACTTATGAACACACACGCGAACACTTACGAACACGAACACTCGCAAACACGAACATTCATGAACAAGAACTCTGACGAAAACCAACACAAACGTTCACGAACACGAACTCTCACGAAAACCAACACGGACATTTAGGATTAAGAACTCTCACGAAAACCAACACTCACAAACACACGCGAACACTTACGAACACACGCGAACACTCACGGGCACACGCGAACACTCACAAACACACGCAAACACCCACGAACGCTCTCGAACGCACGCGAACGAACACGAGCACATCTACATTTATGCTAGTAGATTAATATTAATTTTATTACATTATTACATTTCCTTTCTTTATGGTTTGGAGTAAGCCACCGTTTCTCCAATGAATGTCCGCAGGACTGCGTTTGGAAGGACGACAACGACATGCACATGGCATACAACGCGCACGGCCAGGGCATCGCCATGGCGCCGGGCATCTGCTCGTGCTCGCTGCCGCACAAGTGCGTGTGCCTGCACGAGCCGCCCACTCCCCCCGCGCCGCCCGCTCCGCCCTCGTCGCCACCCTCCGCCGCCCGCGGCGCGCCGCCCTCGCTCCGACCGCCCGCCTCCGCCGCTGCCGCCGCCGGCGCCGCGCCAGATGCAGTGCCCCTCGGTGAGACGCTAAGAGGCAGGACCAATCCTGCTAGAATATACGTTAGAGCGTTCAAAAAGTCTCTCCGCAGTGGCCGTCTCCCCACTCCACCATCCTTTATGCGGAAAATGGCAACGTCGCGGGTTTAATCTGCGCGACGGCGTTCGACTGTTTGTTCTCAGAAGCGCGATCGCTGCAAGGAAATGCAAGTACGTGAAATAAAAATATGTCATCGTATCTTCGTATCCGATTGACACATTCTGTTTGACTTCGTACAAGTCGTTCGTTGTGAGTCAGATTATAACTGTCAGAATACTGACACTGGAAGAACGTATGTACGTTCTGTATTATATATAACGAACTGTATTTTTAGTGGAACTTTGTTTCGAGAAAACAATAAGTTCATAGATGGTTAATAAGATCACGCATAATTTCTAGAGAGCTGTGGCCGCCGAGATCACTAGATCTAACACCTGATTTCTTTTTGCTGAGAAGCGGCTAAAGGAAATATCTACAATACTCGTCCCAAGATCATTGAGGAATTAATAGAATCAATATTGTGTATGTAATGTCCACATCTCAAGACGTTTTAAAAAGTTCTCGATAATAAATGTAAAAGAGTAACGTTTTTCATTCAAAATTCTGATAAATATGTTCATCACAGGATATAATAAGATAATTATGGAAAGTAAAAAAAACATGCTGTTTATTTCAAATGATTTATTATTTATTGTTATTATTAGTATTTCGTTTTTTTCCTCGCTGCATTTTATATTTTACATCACGCTCTTTCGCTGTTCAGACCGCAATGTTGCCATTTCCGCATTATGGATGATGTAGTGGGGAGACAGCCACAGCGGAGAGACTTTTTGAACTTTGTACTACATAGTGGCTTACCCTATGATCACTGATAGTCACTGATAGAAGTCACTGATACAAACATCCGCACTTTGTAAGCAGATAGAATTTCAGTAACTGCATAACAATACGAACATATACATACAACATGAAAACATGAATATGAATTTTCATGAACAAACATAAAAATACACATACCTGTTCGTGAAAGTAGAGCTAGAATGTATTCATCCTTTAAAATCTATAATGTATTTCTGGATTTTCAAAATATTAGTATTCATAACTTGCCGACTTTCTTTCGTATTACTTACTAAGCTATTTAATTTCAATGCACGAAATAATTCAAAACCGGTAACAATCTTAACCGTGCAAGGTTGGCCTAAAAGCAAATTCAAATACAGGACACTTGGTTTCATGTCGCTTCTTCACGTTGCAGGACGTGCTGCTCAATGCGGAGTGGCCTGCCGATTAGCGTTGGTGTTTGGCAGCACTCTTCTCATTGTGGGCACCGCCGGTCTGGTTTTTTGGCGATACAGGTAAGCAAACACTATGTTTCGTCCAACTGTTCGCCAGAGTATACGAGGCCATGCGCGAATACACCTATTTTTGATAATAACGCTCAATGTTATTATCTTCTAAGTGTAATTAGTTTGTAATGTGGCGTGTTGTATGTATGTATATATGTACTTAGCGTGACAGCTCGTGAACGGGCTCAGGCCTACCGGCGACGTCCTTGCCTCGCGGCCACGGATTAAGGGGGTACGTGTGGTTAGACATCCCCACGCCGTATTCCGGTCTCCTCAACTTGAGAAGTGAATTTCCTCATCGTCAAACAGCAACATATACTGGGATACTGCAAGGAAAACGCACACCATAGTCTTGGTTCTACTGAGAATCGAACCCGAGGCTGCGTAGAAAGCGAACACTCTGGACCAAGATCAAGCCACGAGCCTAATCTGGCGTGTTACCGGACAGAAATTCGTAATTAAGATGTTTGAAACAAACTACGATCCATTGAAGGCTATGTTGCATCTCAGCAGATTACGTTAGAGCAGACTATATTTATAATTTAAAACTAAAGTAGAGATATTTCAAATAGGGGACTCAAACTTTGAGAATCTGTAATAACATTTAAATACGAAATACACAAGCAAAATTCGGCGCCTCCAGTGAGCATTCTCTTGTTAAAAAATGTCCACTTGTGATATGTTAGTTCATATCACAAGTATTAACAATATAGTAACTAGATCGTCCATCTTCAGGCATAGACAGTTACGTGAAAAAGTATTTTTAAGAATTAAAAAAAAATTATATTTCGTTACAAAATGCTTAATTACCGTCAATTTTCTTAATCAAATCATAACAATCCAGGTTATGCTGAAAAGGTAGTGTGGTTACACATACTAAGCTATACACTGAAGAGCCAAAAACTGGTAAAGCCATGCGTATTGAAATAAAGAGATCTGGAACCAATCAGATTACGGCTCTCCGGTCGGCAACGACTATATAAGACAACCACAGTTGTTAGATCACTTACTGCTGCTACAATGGCAAGTTATCGCGATTTAAGTATGTTTGAACCTGTGTTATAGTCGGCGTAAGAGAGATGGGGCATAACATCTCCGAGGTCGCGATGAAATTTGGATTTTCTCATACGACCATTTCACGAGTGTACCATGAATATCGGGAATCCGGTAAAACATGAAACGTCTGGCATCGCTGCGACCGCAAAAAGATCGTGCCAGAACGACGACTGAGGAGAATCATTACACGTGACAGAAGTGCAACCCTTCCGCAAACTACTGCTGATTTCAATGCTGGGCCATCAAAAAGTGTCAGCGTGTGAATAATTCAACAAGAGATTATCGATATGACGTTTTGGAGCTGATGGTTCACTCGTATACCCTTCATGACTGCATAACACAAAGCTTTATTTGGTCTGACCAGTCTTGTTTCACATTTTTTCGAACGGATGGTCGTGTACGAGTATGGCGACGACCACCAAGCTGGTGAAGGCACTGTGATGGTATGGAGCATGTGCAGTTTGAGTCATGTGGGACCCCTGATTCGTCTAGATACGACTCTGACAGTTGAAACGTACGTAGGCACGTCCTGTCTGATCACCTGCTTCCATTTACGTTCATTGTGCATCCCGACGGATTTGGACAATTCCAGCAGGACAATGCGACAGCCCATACATCCAGAATTGCTAAACAGTGGCTCCAGTAACACTTTTCTTAATTTAAAAGCTTCCACTGGCCACAAATTCCCAAACATGAACATTTTTTAGCATATCTGAGATACCTTGCAACGTGCTATTCAGGAGAGATCTCCAACCGCTCGTACTCGTACGAGTTTATGGACAGCCCAGCAGAATTCATGGTGTCAATTACCTCCAGCACTACTTCATACATTAGTCGAATCCATGCCACGTCGTGTTGCGGCACTTCTGCGTTTCACGGGGGCCCAACAGGATATTAGGGAGATGTACCCGTTTTTTTGGCTCTTCGGAGTATAACCACTGTATATATCTTTACCCCCCTCCCCAAAATCATGATTGTGCGAGATTTTTTCAAACTTATTATACAATCAGATCCTTGTTAATTTGATTTACGCTCCGTAAATCGCTTATATTATTATTATTATTATTATTATTATTATTATTATTATTTGTTATCCCATAGGCGCAACGCAGAGTGCTATTTTACCATGTGTGAATGCACAGTGCTAATTTACCATTCTTAAACACAATGTACTAACTCTCCGTTCGTCATCCTCAAGCTTTAAGTATTTTCCCGACGCAAAGTTCTACTTTGCGGACGAAAAGTTCTACTTTGCGGACGAAAATTTCTACATCGGACGAAAATTTCTACTTGCGACCAAGTTTCTTTGCGACGCAAAGTTTTACTTTGCCGATGCAAAGTTTCTACTTTGTCGATGCAAAGTTTCTATTTGGCCTCAATGTTCTACTTACCATACAGTTCTGCTGTGGCCATGTGCACGGGCTCCCGTGTAATCCGCCGCTGTCGGTGTGGCTTGGTGCGCAGGGTGGCTGGCAAAGGCCGGTGCGCGCGTAAGTTGGCCGTGTCGTCGGCAGCGGCGCTAGAGGCGGCCGCGCGCAGACGCACCTCTGGCTCGGGCGCCGCCCCCGCCGCCTCCGCCGACTCCCAGCGCCTCGCGCCCGTCCCGGACGCGGCGTTCGTCGCGGTGAGTACACAAGCAACGACGCCACGCTCTCCTTTTACTTTCTCAATGCAATTCATTTCAGCTGCAACGCGCTCTCTTTTTACTTTCTCAACGCAATTCAACTGCAACGCGCTCTCTTTTTACTTTCTCAACGCAATTCAATTCAACTGCAACGCGCTCTCTTTTTACTTTCTCAGCGCAATTCAATTCAACTGTACCGCGCTCTCTTTTTACTTTTTCAGTGCGATTCAATTTGCTTCCCCACACTCCCTTTTTAGTTTCTCAATGCAATTCTAACATTTTTTCGGTGTTTTCTTACAACTGCAATTATGAAGATACAATATTTTCCCTTAATGAAATGTGCTCATCAATATCAGATCTTTAAATAAGGTCATGTTCAATTTTTCAGAAACATGTGTATTTTTTTCAAAATTTTGTGTCAAACATAGACAATTTTCTTTAAACCACTTTTTCTTAAGAATCGCACGAGTTTTTATTAAATTGGGAATTTAGATTGCATAAAGGACGCTTAAAAGAATGGTGCAGGTCTCATTTTCATTGAAATGCGTGAAATCTGTGAAAATTTAAAACAATATTAAAAAGTTCAGTTTCTTCCTACAACTGCAATTGTAAAGATACATTTTTTTTCTTAATGAAATGTTTTAATATAATGCAGATCTTCAAAGAAAGTCTTGTTGATTTGTTTGAAAGTATTAGTATTTATGTGTAATTTTGCGACAAATATAATAGCTCGTTGGAATTGACTACACTTCGTTTTTGACGTCTTCTTATAAGTGCAATTGTTAAAATACAATTTTGTTTTAATGATATGTGTTTATCAAAAATAGATCTTCAAATAAGGTGATATTCAATTTTTTGAAAATGTGAGGGTTTTTTTGTGTAATTTGACCACAAAATTAAATGCCCGCTGCTTTGTAAATCTTCATTTAAAAGAAAATGAAACATTTAAGAATGAACATAAAATATCTTGGAAACATGGAAGGTTATCTAGAACTTTTATATTAGAACCAATACATTTTAAAATCTTTAAACATAGTACATTTGCTTAGAATTCCATCCTGGATTTAAATAAAGCATTACACTAAAAGAATAATATTTGAAGTATGATGTAATGCTAATAAGACAATTTCAAAGAAATTTTGGAAAGCTCCTTGTTCAGCTGAACCCTTCAGTTCAATTACGATTAATTTCACGTGGCAAGGCTCGGACCATCAAGCCTGCTCTTCCGCCTGACTATGCAAATTCCGCTACGCTCCTTTCGACATCTAGCAGAGAAAGAAGTAATCACTCGGGCGACAAAAAAGGCGACTAGTATTTAGTAAAGGAAGGCAAGGCATTTTAGGCTTCAGCATGTAATAAATATACAATAAGGGGCGGACAGCTTTAGTTCCTCTCAGAAGGAAGGATTTTCTCGCCCACACAATTCACATATTCGATCGGATTTAAACTAGTGAACTGAAGCATAGCAATCCGACATGCGTCACCCCACCGAAGCCACAAATCCTTTCTCTCATGTTACGTACGTAGTAAAGAGAACGTCTTGCGCTAACACAACAAAAATCTACATTTTCGTCTGAAAAACTCTTTTTCTGAGTCTTTGTTTCCTAAAAAAGGGAATTATCTTTGCTCCTCTGTGCAGTACATTACTTCAATCAATGTATTCTTTGTGACTATCTATGTACACTATCGTAAAATTGTGTCCAACTTACATTTTAGACACTCAATGTTTATAATAATTAACATAAATCTGAGTGCTAGATCTAGTATATTATTTATTCTCAAACATAATTAGAACAAGTTATATACAATACCTTATTTTAAGTAATCACTTATCGCTTAACAAGTACCTTATCTCATCAAGGTCGGCTATTAATTCTGTTGATAAAGTATTAAGAACAGTCTAGTTTATAGAACCGATTGTGAATCCCCCAGACCATTTAAAGATGTGAAAACGCGAAAGTCCTTCGAATCTTGGGCAACAATACAAGTGCTGTTATATTACAGTCTCTTTTTATATTAATTCCATGCGGTAATTAGCCATTGTCGAGTAGATGCGGATTGCGGTTTAGCTGGTTCCCCATCTTTAATCAAGTGCTGAGAGAACGGTGTGCGTGTGTGTGCTGCGCAGCCCGACCCGCGCTGGGAGTTCCCGCGGAAGCAGCTGACGCTGGAGCAGCCGCTGGGCGAGGGGGAGTTCGGGCGAGTGCTGCGCGCGCGCGCCCTCAACATTGCTGGCCACAGCGGTGAGTGCCATTCCCATTCACTCTAGTTCTCTCCAATTCACACTCTGTAACCTCCACACAATTCCTCCCTCAACACCACTGGTCACAGCGGTGAGTACCATTCCCATTCACTCTAGTTCACTCCTAGCAACCTCCACCCTCAACATCAGTCACAGCGGTGAGTGACATTCCCATTCACTCTAGTTCTCTCCAATTCACACTCTGCAACCTCCACCCAATTCCTCCCCCAACACCACTGGCCACAGCGGTGAGTGCCATTCCCATTCACTCTAGTGCACTCCTATCAACCTCCACCCTCAAATCTGTCACAGCGGTGAGTGCCATTCCATTCACTCTAGTGCACTCCTATCAACCTCCACCCTCAACATCTGTCACAGCGGTGAGTGCGCATTCCCATTCACTCTACTTCATCCTTGGAACCTCCACCTTCAACATCTGTCACAGCGGTGAGTGCCATTCCAATCACTCTAGTTCACTCCTAGCACTCCACACTCAACATCTGTCACAGCGGAGTGCCATTACCATTCATTCTAGTGCACTCCTAGCAACCTCACCCTCAACATCTGTCACAGCGGTGAGTGCCATTCCCATTCACTCTAGTTCACTCCTATCAACCTCCACCCTCAACATCCGTCACAGCGGTGAGTGGCATTCCTATTCACTCAGTTCACTCCTAGCAACCTCACCCTCAACATCTGTCACAGCGTGAGTGCCATTACCATTCACTCTAGTTCACTCCTAGCAAACTCCACCCTTCAACATCTGTCACAGCGGTGAGTGTCATTCCATTCACTCTAGTTCTCTCCATTCACAATCTGCAACCTCCACTCAAATTCCTCCCTCACACACTGGCCACAGGGTGAGTGCCATCCCATTCACTCTAGTGCACTCCTGGCAACCTCCACCCGCAACATCAGTCAGCGGTGAGTGCCATTCCATTCACTCTAGTGCACTCCGAACAACCTCCACATCAACATCTGTCACAGATGTGGTGCCACGCCACATTCTCCCCATTCACTCTTATTCGCTCCCAGCAACATCCACCTTCTCCGACATCAGTCACAGCCTCTCGGTGAGAGCCTTCGCAACACTCTCTATTCAGGCTCAGCAACCTCCGTCCAACCCTCCCTCAACCCCACTGGCACGGCGTGAGTGTCATTCCCATTCACCCCAACTCAACGGTTTTTGTCATTCCTCGATCCCCAAGCCCATCCGTCGCGTGAACTCGTGTCGAAGCAGCGCGCGGCGCAGGGTACACGACGTGGCGTGAAGACGCTCAAGGACGGCGCGTGCGCGAGCGAGCTGGCCGACTGCTGTCGATGTTCGCGCTGCTGCAGCAGGTGCGCCACCCCAACGTGGTGCGCTGCTGCGGCGCTGCTCGGCCGGGTGCGCCGCCGGCGAGCCCTTCCTGCTCATCATCGAGTTCGCCGAGCACGGCTCGCTGCGCAGCTACCTGCGGCGCAGCCGCCACGCCGAGTCGGACGGCGCGCTGCCCTGCTCCGAGCCCGACGCCCTCGCCCTCGCCCACGCGGCCGCGCCCCGCCCGCGCGCCGGCCCCGCCCCGCCGCGCCCCGCCGCCCGCCACGCCCCGCGACGTGCCGGGCTTCGCGTGGCAGATCGCCAAGGCATGGCTACCTCAGCGACATCAAGGTGCGTGCTCGCTTGCTACCTGCTCTTACACACACACACACCACACACCACACGGGGCATGGGCTACCTCAGCGTCATCAAGGTGCGTGCTCGCGCAACATGCACTTCACACACACACACACAACACACACACACACGGGGCATGGGGCTACCTCAGCGACGTCAAGGTGCGTGCTCGCTTGCTAACCTGCCTTCACACACACACACACACACACACACACACACACACACACACGGGGCATGCCTATCTCAGCGACGTCAAGGTGCGTGCTCGCTTTGCTATCTGATCTTCACACACACACCACACACACACACACCACACACACGGGCAAGGCCTACCTCAGCGACATCAAGGTGCGTGCTCGCTTGCAAAACCTGCTCTTCACACACACACACACACGGGGCATGGGCTACCTCAGCGACGTCAAGGTGCGTGCTCGCTTGCTACCTGCTCTTCACACACACACACACACACACACACGGGGCATGGGATACCTCAGCGACGTCAAGGTGCGTGCTCGCTTGCAACCTGCTCTACACACACACACACACACACACAAGGGGCTTGGGCTACCTCAGCGACGTCAAGGTACTCACCCCAATTCAGACACTGCACACTTAGTACGTACACGCAGGTCAAATGGCCCACACTATAACGAGTTGTTTGCAGGCTTGGTAACGCAAAACGTAATTGCGCGCTGAAGTAAATTCATGAAAGTTGCACTAGTGCTATGAATTTTCACAGATATAAATACATATTCTACCCAAACGTCCATAGCTACAAAGGGGTTAAAACATTATTTGTTCTTTCCACAACAACAGGTTAATATCATGATTTCTTTCAGCTTATTCACAGAGATCTCGCCGCAAGAAATGTTCTAGTGGCTGAGGGAGGCATTTGTAAAATATCTGACTTCGGTCTCACAAGAGACGTTTATGAAGATGACACGTACATGAAACGGAGTAAAGGAAGAGGCAAGTATCGAATCATTAAACATTAAAGATTAATCCCTCAAATTGTGTTGTACGGTCCATTATTGGAAGGATTCAGAGCATTACACTTGTTTAACAAACATATTATTCACTAAGCCTATATATTATTCACTAACACTTTAATAGGCAAAATATATCTGTATTGTTGATGTTTTGAAAACTGTCCATATTTTGCCAATATTTTTTTAACCTCTTGGACAAATTTCGTTGCTCTTCCTTGTAGTATTGAGAACCATTTGATGAAGCATAAAATGAGGAGATTGAATCAAAACAATAGCAAGTTCACTTTGGCTTCACATAACCAAACATCTTTAATCTGCTCTCCTGTAAAATTGGGTAAATGTGATTGATGTCTGCAAGATACAGATATAATCTGTTGAACTTACAGTACAACCCTCTATGAATATGGTTGGATGCATTTCTTGACTGTATCATTGATCATATTCAATTGTCATCATTTTTTTATAAATAATGCTGAGACTATGTTTTGTTTTACAGTACCGGTTAAATGGATGTCTCTAGAGTCATTAGCTGATCATATGTACACTAGTAAGTCAGATGTTTGGAGTTTTGGAGTTCTACTCTGGGAACTAGTAACTCTTGGCGCATCTCCATACCCAGGTGTTGCAGTTCACAACTTATTCCACTTGTTGAAAGCTGGGTATCGAATGCAACGTCCTGAAAATTGTTCTCCTGCACTGTAAGTGAATTTTCATCAACATCTGTTCTATTCTCAAATAAAATATGTTATTTACTATTATCATAAATTCTCTTGAATCATTTAATTAAATTGTATTAATTTATCATCAAGAAACAGTACAAACTGAGAGCGATGTTGGGGACAAGAAGTATCATCCCCTTCAATTTTCTTGAGTTCCAGAATCCCTAACCATCCCTTTTCTATCCACACTTCATAGAGAATCGTGATAGAGAAAGGAATGTGAAATAATTTACATTCATTTGATGAATTAGTGAGGAAAGCACAAGACTGAAAAAGATATGGAATTAGTACAATGATAACTTTTAAATTAATCCTGTTTATACCTAGAAATAATCTTGAGGAAAATACTTGTTTTAAATTGTTTACCTACTTCAAAATATCGTTTAAAAATTAAATTATTATGCTAAATATGTGTTGATAATGAGAATAATATTTCAAGTAATCTAAATAAAATCCAAATCTCACACTTTTATATTATCCTTTTGAATTATGCCAACTAATAATTCACAGATGTTAAACTTCAGGGTAATCATTCATGTAAATGTTAATCTAAACCCGCTACCTTTTTTTTAGATAAAGCAATTTGCAAAGTTTAAGCAATTAATCTGTTAAAATCTTTATCTAAAATGTTTTTAATACATGATTACCTTCATTCTATGAGTGCTTGAACTTCTGTACCTCTATTAGACTGTTTCTTCTGTACCTCAATGAGAACTAGTGATGCTACAGAATACCACACACTTTCCCGTATTAGTTTTCTAATTCCTATGGTCTCAGCTAGCTATTCGAACTTGACAAATATTCTTGCCTGCTGCCATCTATCGCCGCCCAAAGAACATTTCTTTTGAAATTTTCTTAATTTTTCGGTTTTCTAATAATGGAATCTAAATATTATTTTAAGAATATCAAAGAATACTAAAATCTCGTCTTAATGGCAAATTTCTTTTAAAAATTGAATTTTTTAACAAAATGGCGATTTAGCGTTACCGAAAATTCGAAATTTGATGCTCTTTTGCACAGAAAATTTTTGAGTTTTCGAAAAACTTAATTTGAATTCATTATAAGTACTTAAGTCACAAATAAAATAGTGGTTACAAATTGCTGGTAATGTCCATAACAACGTCTTGAGAGATCTTTCAAAAAAATTAATTTGTGTAATTTTTCAAAAAACAAAAAATACACCGAAATTAGCATTACGTTATGTTAAAGAGTGCAATTAGCACTCTCCGTTCGAAATGTTTGAAGAAAAATTTGGAGCCTTTTTTCAGAAAATGGCGTTTGACCGTTTCTGAAAATACGGAATTTTGAGTTTGTTTTCACAGAAAACGGTAGAGTTTTCGAGAAACTTTATATGACATTACTTAAAGCACATGTATTCATAAATACATGTAAAGAAATGACCGCTAATGTAAATATTACCAACATCAGAGACAAGTCAAACTAATTACATTTTTGTAATTTTTGAAAAAACAAAATAATAGAGAAATGTGGCTTTTATATCATTTTATAGAGTGCATTTAGCACTAACCCCAACAAAAATTTATAGGAAAAAATTGTAGCCGTTTTTGAGAAAATCTGTTTGTAATTTTTTTTAATTGCACATATTTCACGCAATATTGCGCGTAAACTACTATTTTTTTAAAAAAATATATACATGACCTTAATGAAAGAACTCCCTATGAAGACCAAATTTTATTTGAAGGAAAAATCTCATCTTAAATGTTGTTGTTGTTGTAGGAAGACACCGAAAAAATGCATACTTTCGAAATTTTCGAAAATTCAGAGTCAACTGTGAAATCTGACCTGTGCTACCCTTATAAGTCTATGTTACCCTATTCTTAAAGTAAATTTAAAGAAAAAAATAGAGCAGTTTTTGAGAAAATTTTGAAAATGTCCGAGGGACTTCATATAAAGTAACCCCAAATTTTAAAGATTTTTTTTTCAAAATCTCAATGTTTCGACTCGAGACAAATCGACACGTGTTTCTTCAATTTGGAAAAAATCCTACGCATGGCTTAGGCGCTAGTAGTGTTCATGGACACCAGACGGACGGACAAAAAGACGTTTTGAAAAAAACACTCTTTTCGGTATTAAGGGACCCCAAAACGTGTATTTTCGCCAAAATCTCGAAATTGACTATCCGCAGCATTACATAACTTTCCCTATATGATTTTTGAGAGTTTTTAAATAAGTTAGAAAATTAAGTTAATGTCAGAGTTCATTTTTTGCTTTACAATTCATTTTATCACATATGACAACTAATTGAAATTTTTGGTATTTTTGTTTCTTTTGTTGTTGTTGTTTGTTTGTTTTTTGTCATGTGTCTGTGCATATAATATTTCAAAAAATGAAAAGTGTGTCATCTTGACTTTTCAAATTATTCTTGCTTCTAGTAAATTAAATAACTTTAAAGAAATGCATGTATTTCTTGGTAAAGTATGTGATTTGTCTTGTTTCATTATTCACAACTCATAATGATCATTCTCATATTAATGCAGATACAGATTAATGCGATTGTGTTGGCATGAAAATCCTGATGAAAGACCAACATTCAAAGAACTTATGGCAATTTTTGAGAAAATGTTGGAAGATGGAGTCGATTATTTGGATCTCAATCCTCGAACAGTTCACAACATGACTTACTTCACTAGTCTTTCCAGTTCCAGAGACCTTTTAGGTGAGATTTATCATTTCATTGCTTTGCAAGGCAGTGTCACCATTCCCTTCTTTACAGAGATAGAGAGTTTGCACAATTTTGCTAATCATCTCTTCTTAACCCTTCAAGGTGAGATACCATCTTGAGATGACAGAATCCTTCATTTGTTACATGTCAAGGGATTTTCCTCTCGGTGGCGGAAATGCCACTTGCATACCCATCCCTTTTACCTACTCCTGTGGGGAGCTAAGATAAAGGCAAAAGAGTCCTCTCTATTCCTTTCTCTTCACTCTCATTGGAATGGTGCTGCACTCTATCTCAGCTCCACATTGAAGGATTAATACAAAAATGTGAAGATAATTTCAAATTAAATTACCAACCAACAAGTTGGATGATCAAATTATATTGTTTACTATTTATGTTGATTATCTGTTAATAAATTTTATTGTTTTCAGTATCTTATGTTTTATGACAATCAGTAGAATTTTTATAGGCAATCTGTAAATTGTATTTTGTATAAATTAATGAAATTAATGATGACAACAATGCATGATATACAATTTATTGATTAAGTATTAAATAATTCTACTGATTGTCTTAAAACACAAGATAAACTACATTCTTGGCTATCGGGGATGAGCCGCGTCTCGGTCAATGTGTTGACGTTTCGGTGATCTTGCTGTGACCTTCGTAAGAGCTGTACTGCCAAGGAGCAATACAGAGAGTATATTAGCAATATAGCTCTGAAGAAGGTCACAGCAAAATGGCCGAAACGTCAAAACAATTGACCGAGATGCGGCTCATCCCGGATAGCCAAGAACGTAGTTTAAGACAATCAGTAAAATTATTTAATACTTAATCAACAAATTGTATTTCATGCAATTAATTTCATTAATTTATACAAAATACAGTTTACAGATTGCCTATTAAACAATTCTTCTGGTACGATTCTACTGTAGGTTTGCGGCCGCGGAGCCTACGAACACAGAAGATAAATAAATTACATGAAATACAATTTACTGATTTCATATTAAATAATTCTACTGATTGTCTTAAAATATTAGTCAAAATGCTTTATTACTAATAATAAAGCATTTTGACTGGAAATTATGTATACCACAACTCTAACTCCACAACTCTCAGAATACTGGCAATGTAATGTATTTTGATGTGTTTTTGTTTGTACAAATGAATGGCATTATGCATAAAATGACCATGTAAAATTCTCCACTTTGTGAGAAAAAACAGTTTAGACTTTCTAAAATTCTGCAAATTCTTATGGACCACTACTCACACTTTTAAAAATTTTCACAAGAAAAAGGAAAGTGCTGAATGTAGTGAAAAATATACTAAAACATACAAGGAATGATAATCGATTTTCTAAAAATGATGATTTTCTCAAATTGATTGTTAATGTTAATAATTATTGTTGATTACCTAAAAATAGCACTTAGTCAGTTAAGGCATAAGGCCATCCATTTTAATAATAATTTTGAATCTCAAATTAAGAATGATTCCTAAAGAATGCTCTGAAAATAAATTGAAAGTGTGAAAATGCCACATACAAACAATTCATTAATGTAATCTATGCAGATGTGGTTCTCTTGTGTACTTCAAAAAAACCACTTCTCGGGAGTTATAGCATTTAGCCAACAATGTGCTCACACCAAACAGCTGATGATGAAGTGGTCTGTTTAAAAGAACTAATTCAATTATCTTTTTTTATTTTTTTATGCAATTCTGTTAATTTTCATAATTATTCCATAAAAAGAAAAATAAACAATTGCAAATTGTAAAAATAATTCTACTGTATCATACATTATAACTAAAATTAAAGTAAATAAAAATTAATAATTAAAATATATAATAGAATGTTTCTGCAATAAAGTCAAATCTGCATTCTTTCCCTTCAGATGATCCTGATGGTCTCTATGGGAATTTCAATATCCTACCAAATAATTCTGTCAACAACTTAGCAGCCATTCGCACTTCTCAAAATGAATCGAATGTTTGCATCACCCTATCTGATAGCCTGGGAGAAGAAGAAGAGAGGTTATTACACTCGTCCAATGAAACAACACCTGTCGATACCATTGACTTCCAGAAATCTTTGATTGGAGTTAATTTAGAGAAGAGAGAATCACCTCGACCTGGCAATGCTTACCTGAGTCCAATCCGACAAATAAATACTCAACAGCAAGATTCTGCAGTTGCAGGGCCTTCTTCTGTAGCTTTAACTCAAAGATACATAAGTATTTCTACTGGAGAATCCAGATCGTGGCATCACTCACGTGACTCAAGTCCTGTGTCATCTAAAGTCACTACATTTTGAAACTATGGCTTGCTTTAATGTCATCATATATGCTTGACTCTGCAATCATAAAGTCTCTTTGTAACATTGATGACTTTTCCTCAAGAGATTACTATTATCATCATTATTATGATATTCATTCAAGGACTGGTTAAGTGCTTGTCAACGTAATAAATGAATGATCTTCATTCATATTTATTTCAGCTTAATGCTGAATTATTTGCATGAATGGTGATTTATGTGCCCTAAGAAACTTGCTGTACCTGCTCCTGCTGTGATGAAAGTGGAGAAAATATTTTTAGTGATGACAAGTGAAATGAAAGATCTAGTAAACTGCAATTGAGCGCTAATTCCTCAAGACATTTGTTCAGAGAAATTTGTGTATCCTTTCTGGAGGGAAATCATCTACATTTCTTAAGATTGGCTTGTGGTAGCTGCAAAAGAAATTGAATGAATTCGTGACATTGTGGAAAGTGTAAGTATTCAATTCACACATTTCAAGATCATTACTCATTAGCTTCACATAACTTTTCGTCAAAGCAATTGACTTTGTATGCTAATTAATAACCATTTTATCTTTTAATATAAATATTATTATTTTAAGTAAAATTTCTCCAAAACAGGATTCAAATTTTAAAAAGATCAAATAACTTTTCTATAAATATTTAGCTAAAGTAACATGCATTGCCAAAGTATTTATTTATGACTTTTATCTATTGCACAGGATTAAGAAGTCATTGTATCAATAGTGTAATAGTATGGAATTCCATTTATTTACATTTGCGATGTTACATTACATTTTTTTATATGCCCATTATAAAAACATTTATGAAAAAACAGAACATTTTCAGGCATGATGAATGTGTTTCTCATAATATACCATGATCAGAGAAGCAAGTGATGAAAACACAATTTTAAACTGACACAAATGAAGGTGCCACCTTACTTAAGTTTCCCACAAGGAGAATTTATATTATGCATCAAGTGGGCAGGTGGGAGGGTATCAAGCAAAGGTTTAAAACACTGTCTAGATATTAATATTCATTTATCAGTCTATAATAAATTCTTTCATATAAACAAATTCCAATCTAACTAGCAATCAAACTATACATTTTTTTATAACAAAATTAACAATTTTATTTTTAATGATTTACAAATAAATTTAAATAATTGTGTTGCCAGTGGTCCTTAATGCCTTGGAAATATCTATTCCACTTCAAAATGAAAGGAAATCGCAACTTTTCTATAATTAGGAAGGTATATGACATGGAAATGTATAAATTTGTATTTGATTTGAATCAAAATAGTTTTTGAAAGTGCTAATAGTAACTGTAATGAAAATGTATCCTTTTGTTTCTGTTTCATTTTTGTTCATTTTGAAGAGGTGTAATATCATCAGTATTTTCTGTGAATTACCCAAGGGATAATAAGAGTAAAACTGGAGCCCAAAGATTACACTTAATACCGGAAGTTTCCAGGTCAATCCTGAAGAGGTGGCAAATCTTCCTAATGCTCTCTATAATTATTCTATTGGTAACAGACAGCATAAGTATGTATTCAAGATGTAAGAGATAAAATATATTTTAATAAATCAAAACATATGAATTTGTTTCCATCACACTCATTAAAATAATGTAAGTTAAAATAAACAATAATTAAAACAATTATATAATAATAATAATAATAATTGTTATTACAATATTATTATTATAAATAATAAATAAATGGAATTAAATCAATGCAAGTTTATAAAATATTTTCCAAAGGCATAAATACTTGACATGGTGCATAATTTTGTGCTTTCCTTGATTATAACTAAATTTTCGGTAGCATATTAGTATTATGATCATCATTTTTCCTGGTTGTTCAAAAGAATGTAAACAAAATTTTGGAGTTATCACTCAAATAGGTCAAATGTTTCTTTAAAAATAATACTTGTCTCTTTAACATAGAGAGATAAAATTACTATGATATCTATCAATAACATTAAAAATGACATGTTAGTTGTAATCTACAAGGTTTTCCTAACCCTATTAAATATTTAATGCAACATGTACAATTTCATGTATAATTATTAGGTATTCTATTTCAGTATATCTGCATTATCATTTCACATTTCTCAAGCTCAAGAGTTGAGATGGTGTTCTTGACATATCTTCATATGATGTGCTATTGATTTTATACAAAAAAATAACAAGACATGGGTTTTGCGATCTTTGGATACACCAAGGTTATTTGATTATCATTTGTTTCTGATGACTAGATCAATTTCCCAGAAATCAATAGAGACAGTGGTAAGTTTTTATTCTCTATTCTCTTATGTTTTTATTCTCTCCAATAATACTGCTATTAAACATTAAATTAAAGGAATCAAATGACTTATAATTAAAAGAATGTTGATTCAAAACTTGTGATTCAGTATGTTCCACTTGAAGAAATGATTGTTTTATGTTTTTGGTGGATTCAACTAGATTGGAAGATCTTATATTTTAGTAGCAGAAATATCTAATTTGTAGTATAAAAGATATATTGGACATATTGTCCTATTTAGGACATATTGTCATGTTCTTACAATGATCCTACTTGGAATACATTTTTTTAAATGATTGTGCAAATTCTTGCTCACTTCCTTCATCAAGTATTCCTACTTAAACTCTATTTTCTTCGGGCAAGATTACATCTCTTCCCAGATGGATATCTGTAGTAACATTAACATTGTTGAAATTTTTCTGACATGTATTATTAATTTTAGTTTGAGTAGAGAAAAATATGCTTCTTGGAGTAAATTTGTTTTTGAGTGTCACTGAAAAAAAAAAAAGAATATTGTCAATATAACAAAATCAATAAAGATGTTTTTCTTTTGAAACAATAAATGTTCATAAACTTAGAACGACTATACTCAGAATGAAAGTTGTTCCAAATAACTTATATCCAACAATAAGAAGTATTACAAATAAGACTTGGATAATTATGTAATTACATATTTTTTAATGTTAACTGTCAAATTCAATGCAGAAGATAAGCTGATATTCCAATTCAAACACAGCTTAAAAACAATGTCTTTCTAGTTTAGACATTTACCAACTACATTGCTTCTGTAAGCCTTTTTCAGAAATCCATCTTCCTCTCAATACCCTTTCCCAGAATTGCATGCCTCAGGTTGGAGGCACTGTTGTTTTGAACTTTTTCTTGAAATGTTTCATCTTCACTCTATATTAAAGACATTTCAAAGCTCATACACTTGCAGGTTCCAGGGCAGCAGATGGTTATGGGCACACTTTCTTCCTTTCTTTTCTTTTTCCCCTAATTTAAACAAGTTTTTTCTAGTAAATTTTTTTTTTTTTTTAATAAGTATATCCAATTTAATGAAAATAAATTTTTCTTTCAAATTGTTTATTGATGTTCCCTTTACAGCACATTACTTTTGATTCCTGTTTATTCCTCAAGTCAAACATAATAAAATATCCAAAGCTTTTTGTCATCATATAGAATGATACAAAAAATATTAAATATAATTACGGTAAAATTTTTACTAGCTAATTATTCAGTATTAAACATGCATTACAAAAATCTGTTTCCTAACTGTTAAGGATGCAAACTCATTGTTTATTTAATCTAGGTTTATTTCTGAATTTGATTATTCTTGTCCGAGAGCAAAGCTTAACTTGTGAAACTTTCCTAACACAAGCTGCTTCCCAAATAATTATTTATTAATTTCAGTTTTGAAAATAGTTATTCAACCTTAGCTGTGGTTATAGAAATCATTAAGTACATAAAACATGCTGGGCATACATCAAGAAAACTTAATAAAAATGAATGGTAAAGTAAAATCAAATTTGCTATTTCTTTGACAAAAAAACAAAACAAACATCATTACTAAATAGATAATTTATTAATTGAGATTAGGAGTCCTTCAACTGCTGAGGTCATTGAGTACCACGAGCGATGATCTATTGAATAATGACACCAATAATGAAGGCAAGATGAATGATGATGATTAGGAGGCTGATTTTAATGAGATGTCCTTTTTTTATTTTCACTTTAGAAAAATGCTGTTTAGTATAGAAATTAATTTTGTGTTATGACAAAAGAAAATGTCATTTTTATGTCATTTTTTAGCTTTTTCCATAATTTTTACTGCATTTTTTCACTGGTTTAACTGTTTTTAATATAATTTTAATGGTTCTTACTTCAAAATTTACTTATTATGAGTTCTTCAGAATTTACTTTTATGAGTTCTTCACAGAATTCCTGTATCGCCTATTTGATTTATTTACTCAGAAATTGTAATGTCAGCCATTGTATGTAATCTAAGATTCGTATCAGAATTAATATCAGTTCAGCTGATTTCAAGATAACTAAAGATAGAGATTTTCCGGTAAAGAACAGTCCAAATCAAAAGTATGCAAGCTGAGTTCACTTGAGCGGATAGAAGAAGCTTTGATTACATCAGAAATGTATTTAACAGCTTGGCTAGATTATCCAAACAATTTTTATCACATTTTTTATGTCATTTTCCTTTGGTTTTAGGGCATTTTAAACATTTTAAAAGCATTTTGTTGATCATTTTTGGTGATGTATTAAGTCACCAAAATTTGTTCCTTAATGATCGTGGATCAATGGCACGCAAGGGAGGTGAAAGGGGAGAACCCTAAGGAAACCTTCTGAGAGCTCATTTTGTTCACCACAAATTCCACAAAGATTAGTCGGAAATCAAACCTGGGCTTTAGCAGTAGAAGCCATATGGTTCACCATTATGTCAGGACCCCCTCCCCCCTTCCCTCATTTCATTAGATAAATAATTTTTCAGCATGAGAAGTGAAAAAATAAACATTGTGAGCAAAGTTTCATTTTTCAGTTTTTCTAGATAAAATCTAGATTAATTAATTAATTAATTATATCATTCAGAGGAAATATTAAGCTTTTTCACCATCTGCTGCTGCCTTATTGTTCTGGGTCAGGCGGGGCCTGAAAGGCTGTGCACTTCCTATCCTCCAGATCTTTCAGCAGCTTAATTTTCACACCACCATATTCACATTGTATTTTTGAAAACGCATTCTAAAAATGCTTGAACAAGTTCCTAGAGCATATTTTATCCTCTAAATTGTCACAATCCTAACATTCTGAAGAATCGCTTAACTATATTCTTCTAATAATTTGCACATCTCACTTGGTTCTTAACTGAAACACACAGGAAACTGCAAGGTTCCAATAAACTGACAGTCAATTCTGAAAACATATCATTACAATTAGCTCGTTAATTTTTATATAGATTTATTTACAACATATATCAAAAAATATTTTACAAAAAATAAGATTCAATACTACTTTAAAAGTTTGTTAAACAAAATTTTAAAAGGGGTATTTTACGTTGAATTGGATTCCCATGAGATTAAAAGAGTGATTAAAGTTCTAATTAATTAAGATTATTTAATTAATAAATAAAAATAAGAAGTGAGTCAATTGAAATCCTACTTTTTCCACATTTGTGCAAGCATCAATATTGGTTTATTGAATTTCCATGATTTTCGAGAAGACACTGTGTTCTTCGAAACATAGGATTTTTTTTGTATTGATTGTTCTAAAACCCAAGCAGAATTATCTAGAACTAGGTGTTTTAGCAGCTACACAGATGCATTTATATCTCTTTATCTCTGTCTTTCTGTCATGGCTTTAAAAAGATAAACATTTGGACACTCTCCACACTCATTAGAAAATAAGAGGTCTACCAATCACATTAGATTTCCATTTTGTTTTAATTCTTCTGTGTTTAAAGTAAACTCTAGAGAAAGGCAAATATACTAATCTCCTGAGGTGAATTGAAAAAAATGTTTGCCAACTTGAAAAGTGTGGGAAAATTAAACAAAGAAAATTTGATATGATAAATGATTTTTTTCTGCGTTTTTCAGATCTGAATTAGCAAATCTGAAGTCTGATCCAAAACCAAGAAACTAACGTCATTTCTCAAGATCTTCAAGAGTTAAAAGTTTTCAAACAGTTAAAGAATCATAAATAAGAAAATAATTGAACATCTCCTTATTAACATATCAGATTATCAAAACAGCAGAAGGTGAAAACAACATGATTTCTAAACAATTTTATTGGAAGGGGCCCAAACAGAAATGAAGATTTTAAATGGTTTAAGAAGACAGTGACCTGAAAGTGTGTTCAAGCCTATGCATGATTGAAGTTATTCTCCAATTGTTGTCAACAGATTTTAAAATATTCATTGCTGACTGCCAAAGTTCAGAAGTGGAACTTCTTAATATTGAAGCAATTTACTTTGTATGCTCATTGTAATTGGTCTTCAGTGAATGTATTAATATTTACTAGCCTAATCATGTGACATTATCACACAATGCTTGTGTAAAGCTTGTCATTTTATATAGTTGTGAAACATCATCTTGAAACACTCCTTTAACAAAGTATTTAAAATTTCTATCATTGCTTGTACTGCATTTAAAGGATATGATGGCCCTATATTTCCTGCAAACAAGTTTTGAGAAAGAAGTTGCAAAATATGGTTAATGAGAAACACCTTTTTTAAATGAAATGTAATTCAGAATTTATTGATAAACAGCCTCTAATGGTGCTCAAATCCTCTAAGTCTATGGGAATTTAAAAAAGAAATCTCCAACGCCATTTCAATAATATCAGCAGTAAAAGAAATGCTGGAAAGAATTGAAAGTAATTGGGGTTGACTTTTCACAAAGGTATATCCTGATTATCATTAATAATTCAACATTATTTAAGCGTTAAAAATATAATTTATTAATATGTGTTTTAATATTAATTTTAAACACACTGTATTTTATAATTCACAGACACAATTCATCTAAATATTGTTTTGGAAAAGATGAGACTTTTGTTCATCAGTAATATTTAAAAGAGATTATGGTACATCCGGAGTTTAGGGTGCCAGTTCATTTGGTAGATATTTACAATTATTTTTATTACAATTATTCTGAGGTAGGTAGGTTTCATTTTGTCTGCATTAATGGTTTGTGAGTCCAGCTTCAGAATAAAAGCAAACAAAGAAAAAATTGATCTTCTTTTTCTTCTTTAAAACTACATTGTAAAACATGATGCTTTTCACAAACTGGACATCACCAATTATACTTTTAGGCTAGAATAAATGTTTCTTGTCTTTGATTAATTTTGGTTGCATTGTTCTTTTATAAAACGTTCTTTTTGTTTTACAATTTCTTTAATGGACCTGTACAAAACATTTTCTTTTCTTTCTATTAGGTGAACAATTGTGTCTTCCAGTATTACAATAATTGTGGTTTCACATGAAGTACTTAGTTTATATAATGCTGCAATTAACTTTTCATTTCTAAATGTTACACATTAATCCATTTATACACAAATATAATGTTGTTTATAAAAGACAAACTAAATGTGAATGGAATTGTTCTGAATAGTAACCTACACATTTATTTTGTTGAATTTTCAGACATGACATTGGGCCTTTTATTGCTTCAAATTAGTATAATGAAAATCTGAAAATAATACTGTTCAGTATTGAGGATATTTTTGTGTATGAATTATTATTGAGAGTCCAAGACTGAAGTCTTTTACCTTCTTCAGATGATGTAAATTTAGATAGATACTGATACGAAACAAGAATTTACAAATCATTTTTGTAACAACCAGTGGCTTCTTCTTTCCCTGGAAAAATGTAAATAAGCTTAGTTTTACTTTATGTGAATGGTTCTTAAATTAATCTTTACATTCTCCTTGCTGGTGTTGGCTGAACTCTATACCTCCTGCAAATTATGTATCAAATGAAAAACGTAACTTCATGATTTTATCAAGTGTGGATGCATGTGTGATTTTGTGTATTTGTACACTTTCATCTTCATGAATGATTATAAGTATTAAATGAAACAAATAAAGCCTAAATTTTTAGAAATTATTGAGATAAATAATTAAACTTAAACCCAGGAAAGATCAATATTCAGAATTATTTTAAAAAATTATTGAAACTATTTGTTAAAATAAAATAGAAGTTCTATGTGACCCTTGTAGTACTATGGTAGATGATTTACCTACAATATTTCTGCTATTTATTTGTATTCTGATAGGAGAACCAATTGCACCCTTTAAAACAATAATTTTCATGAAATCTTTTTTCTTGAACTGACTTTAGCCAAAATCTGTGTTAGCTAAATAAAAATTGTATAAGGAAAGAGATTTCAGAGTATAAATGTCTTAACATTTGGTAATGGTATTATAGTTCATAAGACTGATTCACAACGTCCAGTTCTAAAAATATTAATTTCCATTTATCTAGAAGTGCAGAAACCGAGATGTGTAACTGTGACAAGTTATTATACTTATTTAGTGAACCATTGTCTAATTTGAAAAATAGCCTGAATACTTTAATACAATTTTTGTTGTGACAATACCATATTGGTTACTGTACATGTTAAACATTCCCATATACAATATATATTGTTATCATCCAGGAATATGGTCTATATTTCTTTGATTATGAAAGCTATGAAAGAATTGTAAATATGTTGAATATGTTGTATAGAAATTAGTGCATTTGTTTTTGTATTGCACAAATGAAATTCCATTGCAAAATAAAAAATAATGTTTACATATTCTTTTCAATAAAATGTAATGTCAACTCTCTTTTTTGATTTGTCATTTCAATTACCTTAAGAGCAGCCAAGGTGGATAATACACAAAAGAAATAACTTTTTTTTATCAGGTAATTGCAGTAATATTTAAAATAACTGAAGGTAAATTTAAAAAATGGAAAATGGTTAAATATAGTAGTATAGCTGTGCAATAGCTTTGTAATGCAATAGACCATAAAAATAAATTCAAGCTAAGATACAGTAATAGTTAAATGGACAATAGTACTCACTAGTAGTGAAAATAATTCAATATTTCACAAATATGTCAATAACAAGATATGAGTATTTACAAATAAACATTTTCTTTAAATTCGGCTCTAATGAAAAATTTTTTGTTGAGTAGACACTGTACCTGTAGACCCCCTGGATAATCCTTGTTGTGCCATTGGTTAAACATTATTATTAAAGCTCAAAAGTTCAGTTGTTTATTTTTGGATAAAATAGGCTGGCAAAGGGATATTTATTTTTACTGAGGCAGACATGCAAAAAGATATTTATTCTGGGTAAAATAAGGAGTGAAAAAGGCCTGTAAAACGTGACAAATGAACATTAAAAAGTCTCTAGTAAAAAGATTTCATAAGATTCCTTTTTTTTCTAATTCTGAAATTTACATGATCACTTCCGTGGAAGAAATGTTTTCTCTTTCTTTCAAAAACTGTATATAAATTTTTCAATTTTATTCCTCCTCCTCAATTGCCCACTAAATTTGAACATAGGTTATTATTAATAAGATATGATTTATAATTAGATTTATAAATAAGGTCATGGACTTTTTTTTTTATATAAATCAGTAATTTTCACATAATTTAGCTTCATATATTAATTGTATTCGGCTGATTGGTTTACATGGACAGTTTATAAATTAGACTGGCCAGATAAATTTGATTTTGGTGGAATCAAATACTTTCCACACTTTCTCCAACTACCTCACAACAGTCACAGCCATTTGTTTGACAGTCAGTTCAAATTCTATCATTACAACTGCCATACTGGATGTGTGACTGTACACTCTATTGTACATATTTGTATATATTTTGTGTGTTCTATTGTTTATAATGGTGAGTCTCAATGTTAGTTTATACCGAGTGCTATGTTTCATTATAATAATTTTTCACTGCTTTTGAATCAGTAATCTTGTAACTTCTTATTTTATATTCCTTTTAAAATAGTAATAGTTTTCTTCTTTGTATTGTAGTCAAAAGATGAGGTAATTACCGAAATGTCATTCAGAAAATGATGATTAATAAACTTTTTGTAAATGAGAATCTCAAGATTTTGGAAAATTGCAATTGGAAATGTTCATACTTTTAAGCATCAGAAAGATAGATTTTCACTCTGAGACTGATAGTGTAGGGGTGTGAGTAACTTGTTAACTTCAAGATCTTGAATTAAAATTCCAGCTTTGAGAAAAAATGTTTGCTACTTAGACTTTTGTAGGGTTATGTAGTATTACAATATTGTAGCTACTAATAAGGCAAGTCAAATATTGTTGTTGACAAATACTCATTACAAAAAATGTGAGAAAGTATGTGCTGTTGAATCATCACTATTTCTACGCGAATCATTTCTATTTCACTCGCGCAACTTTTCTTGAACGATGACCTTGCTTCCCCCTCTGACTCATACAGTTGAATGCAAAAGCTCGCACCGAGCATTTTGCGTTTTACCGCTATGTGTAAAAGTGGCTGGTGTGGGTTCGCGTCGCATCTTAGTCAATATCAAAATCTGCTTTAGTGTTGCACTACTTAGTAGTGCCCCTCGGAATATCAGAGGGGAGTGTTTGTCTTCTTTGTCCCATAGTGAGGACGTGTCTAGATTACAGCATTCCAAACACATCCTCACTGGCGCGAAATAGGAACTATTTTCCGTTGAAAACTTCTGTCCATGATTTTCTTCAAAACATCTAAAGAAATGAATGAAGCATGTGTAGATTCATCACATGAGATACCTAGAACTCCTGAGAGAGTTAGAACGCAAATCATGGAGAAAGTTGCAAAGGCATGACTCCAGAGGCTCCAGACTCAAATTGGCATTACTTCATAAAATCTAGTGACTGATTATGTAACTAATACCTCCACTCTACCCGCATGTCTTGAATCCATCGTTCAAGAAAATTTGCGCGAGTAATACCAGATCTGGTATATTACTGGACAACATGTTTTATTAGTGTAATTGAACATATTCAATTGTAGGTTCTTTTTTCTTATGGTACCGTAGACTTTGCGTCTCATTAGATTTGGCCTTCTTTGTGCTCAACCATGCGTTCTTTGACTTTTGTCTTATACAGTATTGTTTCTCCATACCTTTAATGAACTAAAGGGCTTTTGTGGTATTACTATAGTACATTTTGAGCAATTTCTTTCTTTCTTGTTCTGTGTTACTCTTCTTTTTTTATGAGTTTCAATACTGTGTTATTTGTGAGAACTCTGGATCAAAATGAGTGTAAGAGAGAAGTCTCTTAGAGGACTCTTTATCTGGATAGTGGTGGAAATAATGATATGTAAAGTGGTCTGAATGTGTGTGTTTGTTGTTGTGTTGCAGTTCACACACATTTTGCGTTTTACCGCTATGTGTGAAAGTGGCTGGTGTGGGTTCGCGTCGCATCTTAGTCAATATCAAAATCTGCTTTAGTGTTGCACTACGCCCTCGGAATATCAGAGGGGAGTGTTTGTCTTCTTTGTCCCATAGTGAGGACGTGTCTAGTTAATTGTTTTTGCGTTGCCGGAGCTTCGTTGGTTTGAAAGGCTGGGTAGGCTTCGTTAATCGAAGCCGTCTCAGGCATTGAGTGAAGGACTCGATATCAAGTTCCTTCCTCAGAACTTTCAACATATATTTTATAGAGTGCCAAGTGAAGTTCCGTGGGGAGTGTTGGTTCCCTCAAAAGAGGTTGTAAGAGTCGGAACTCTTTGCTGTAATGTTGACCGAATTCGCCTGACATGCAAATGCCAGCGCAACCTTCGATCAAATGTGACGCTTAATAAGTTACATTAGGCGCCCATGTCAGTTGTTGTGTACCAAGTGTAATTTGTTTTGGTGTGTAAAACGTTTATTGGTGTAAAAAGTGTATTAGCGTTGGCGGCGGGTGTAACAGATTGGCTGCGACTTATCCTCTGAGAAAGGCAATTGGTTTTGTTCCGCCCATTTTAGCGTCAAGTTCATCTGTTCCATGAAGTATTTTCAATTTGTGGTATAGGTATATTCCTCTTGCTAAGACGGCTATGTCATCAGCGTAAAGGAAAAGCCAAAAAAAGGACAAGATCACACATAAGTCTTGGTCAGTTTGTTAGGGTACTGCTCTGGCATTTGCCGGTTGTAGATCAGAGAAACAGCGGTAAACTACTGACCAAGAGTTGCCAGCTGCTAGAATTTTCCTCCAGACAGCAGCTGAACTCGACATAGCTATGTAGCTATTGCAGAATGTGACTGATAGATGATTAGATGAGTGTGAACACTTCCTTTTCATTGCAGAATTGATAGTTTATAATTGTTTGGGCCATTGTTAAAGTACTTATGTTCTAATAACCTATTACAAAACTTGTTTCATTAAGTTTGACTTAATGTAACAAAAGTAATGAAATAATGTTAATATTTCTTTAATGGTTGATATGCATGATAGTTGATTGAGAAATAAATTTTCTTTCCTCATTTTTGAAAACCAAATTAGGTTGGTGTTTTTTGTTTGCAGTTGTGTTTTCACATTGCTCTTACACACTCAGAGAGCATACATTTTATTTTAACAGAAGAATTTTTTTTTAACAGAAACATTTTATTTTAACAAAAGCATTTCATGAAAGTAAATTACGATGCGAAAATATATTTCTAGAAAATAATTTGAATCTTTGGGAAAGGAAGAGAGCTTCTTAAATAAATATTCATTTTGTGTTTTGCATATATCATATTGAGAAAGGATGTTTTGTTACTTTCTCATAGAATGACAATGATTAGTTTTTCATTAGCACTTTTGTTTTAATTTACTTTTCAT